CTGCTTGCCTGACTTGAGCCGTTTCAAGAGGCAGCTTTCTTCCCCTCTCCCCTCTGCCAGGTTCCTTCTCTCCTCAGATCCACCCCCACCCTCTCCGCGGGCTGATTATTCCGGATCTGCTGACTTAGGTACTTTCTCTCCAAACCAATCAGAGGGCAGGCCGGCTCCACTCAGCACACACAGGCAGGCTCATCACAGCTGGGAGCTGGAACCCATGCTGGCTAAATCGGGAGGATCAGGCGTGACTCCAGGTTGGGCTGAGAAAGCGCTGCCCTCCCCAGTCGCAGCTACCCAGGGTAACCTTCGACTTCTGCCCGGGGCCAAGGACTCAGCACCCCATCTTGAGGGTGGGCACCTCCCACATGTGCCTGCTTCTTTGAAGGGGCTGAGTGGAGCCCTAACACGCCTGTGAGGGCTCAACCTGAAGGGTGCATAAGCAGGTGCAGACCCCCCTCCCCTGCACCCTCCTCTCCGTAGGTGTTTACTGAGCAGCTGCTGTATCACCAATGCTTTAAGTGAAGAGGACAAAGCAATGAACAAAGTAGACCTCCCAAAAATGTACACCTGCATTATGCTCAGTTTCATGGGGGTGAAAGCTGGATAAAATAAGGAAAATATAGCCGATGTTTTAAAGCTGAAGGGGAAAGGTGAAGCAGGGAAGGGCCGTTGGAGGAAGGGAACTTTAAATGAAGACTTAAGAAAAACAGAAAGGAAGGAGCATTCCAGAAGCATGCGCAGCACATACAGATGTCCTGGGGCAGGAGTGTGCTTCGTGTGCTTGGACCCTGTGGAAGAGCCAGTGTGGCTGGGCCAAGAGACCAAAGCAGAGAGTAGAAGAGTGGAAGGTACAGAGGTGCGTGGGGGTCCTTGCTGGCTGTTGGTGGGGGCTTTGGCTTTTTTCTGAGTCAGATGCTGTCTATAGAAAATTTTGTTTTAATTTTTGTTATTTTGAGACAGGAACCCACCACGTAGCCCAGAATGGTCTCAAATGTGAGGCAATCCTCCTGTCTCAGCCTCCAAAGTGCTGGCATTACAGGCTTGCATCAGCACACCCAGCCCATAGAAAGATTTTGAATATTTGCACACACACAAGGCTTGCGTTGTCTTTTCTGCTTATTCTTGCCATTGCAACATTGCTCTTTTTAAAATCACATTTAGGAGTTTCTTCTCAGCCCCCTTTGCCCAAGTAAGGGAAGAAGCCTGCTAGCAAAGACTGTTGAATTCTCCTCTGTGGGTCAGAATGTGCAGGAGAAAGCTTGGAAGAGACAGGAGCCCCCAGCTTTCTGCGTGACTCAGAGCCCCAAGTACCTGGGCTCCACCTACCCCTGAAATAGATCTTGGGCAGTGCTGCTTCTCAAACTTAAACTCTGCTGTGTGCTCGAGCTGGGTGATCTTTTCTGAGACCACCCTGACTCAGCAGGTGGACATGGGACCTGCAACTGCTGAAGTCCTGACAGCTGCTGCTGGCAGTTTGAGCGGCGAAGATCCAAGTCACCGACTCCCATTGGGTGTGTGCAGACGTTTGCAGGGTGTGTGTTTGTGTGGAGGGAGCGCGCAGTGGCACGTGACAGCCTAGTGCCACTTGCAAGCCTGGGCCTGGAACCTTCGGCTCAAGGCTGAGGCAAAGAAAGCTACATGCCAGCCATGTCAAGCAGGAGGCCAGGACACCAGGCCAGAGGAATCGCAGCTTGGTGCAGAAGCAAACAAGCGGTCTGAGTTAGCAGAGAGGAAACGCGAAGTTGAATTCCAAGCATAGCAAGTGGAGGCCAGCGAAGGGCTCAGTATTGCCTCTCTGTGTACAAATATTTCCGCTTATTTTCTGAACTGCAGGGTGAGAGAGAGTGGAATATTGTGTGACACAGCCGGGCTTTGTTCTCTAGGCTCCTAATGACTGTCAGCTCAGAGGCAGGAAGCCAGTCAGAGATGATCGTCCGTAGGGCTGGCTTTTGTTGTCTCCCTAAATTGCCCTGAGAATCTGCTTTGCTTTCAGAGTGCGTGGAGCACCGCGTCAGCCACTTCTAGCTGGAGCAGAGGCTGGAGCCAGCGGTGGAGGGAGCCTGGATTGCCTGCTGTCCTGAGGCTTTTGCTCCTGAGCTTTCTGTTTCAGACTTTGTTTTTCCACCTGCGAAATGGGTTTATGCTTCAGTCACACTCACCGCCCCCTTTTCTGCCTCAGAAGGATGATTTGATGGACCTTCTAAAGTACCAAAGTGAACTCTAGGGCTACAGGAGGGGAGCTGATGCTGGTTAGTCCTCCCAAGGAGAAAGGAGGAGGAGGAGAAGAGAGGTTTCCCATGGCCAATCCCTTTGACATGTGCTGTTCAATCCCTCTGTGAAGCAGTGGATTTGGGGGGTCTCTGGGGGACACTCAGCAATATGTGGATCACTTTGGGTTGTTGCGGCTGGAGCGGATAGGGCACACACAGGCGCTGAGTAGAGACCACGGGTGTGGCGCAGCATCCTTCAGCACCCTGGACAGCTCCCGCGTGGCTGGTGACCTGGCCCCAAATCTGAGCAGCGGCAAGGTTGGTTGGAATCCTTGTTCCTGAAGAGCCTGGGCCCGGGGGGTAGATCCTCTGGTGCAGGACTATGGCCCTCTGCAACCCAGGGGAGAGTTCTCGGCATGCAGAGAACAGTTTGCAGAGAGAGAGGATGAGTGAGTGGGAGCCTGGGAGAATGGGAATGTGTGAATGAGAATGAATGAGGCGTCTGGGGAGAGCCCCAGACTTCCCCTCCTCTCCTTCAAATCTTGAAAGATCAGCTTCTCAGTTGCCTGCCCTGACCACTGTATGTTTTTGTTGAGGTGAAATCCGCATAACACATTTTAAAGTGACTAACGCTGTGGCATTTAGTACACTCGCAGTGTTGTAAAACCAGCTATCTGGTTCCAAAACATGAAACAGTCACTCCTCACTGCCTCCTCCCTCAGATGGGCTGAGCGGCTTCCCGGCTTTGTGAATCGCCCCTTCTGGACATTTCAAACACACGAACCATGTACTGTGTGCTGGTTTGAAGGGGCTTTTTTCTTTTTTTTTTTTTTGGTACCGGGAATCGAACTCAGGGCCTCGCACTTGCCAGGCAGGTGCTGCGCCGCTGAGCTACATCCCCAGCCCTGTGTGCTGGTTTCATGTTGGCTTCTTATACTTGCCATTGTGGCTCTGAGGTTCGTCGTATTGTAACATGGATCAGCGCTTGACTTTCTATGGTGGACTCACACTATTCTATCAGATGGGCCACTACATAATAATTCTGTTTATTGTGGGGAATCCCCACATTGAAACCACATCCTGTCGGTAACTTCCCTTCCCCCTCCACCCCTCCTATCTCCCCCACCCTCCGATCCCTCCCATCTCTCTAATGTCTACTTCTCTGCTTCCTATCATCTGTCTTCTATTTTTCTCTTTAAATTACTCATACCTTGGGTTTCTCGTATAAGAGAAACCATGTGATATTTTAGCTCGTGTGTCTGGTTTGCTTCACTTAGCATGTTCTCAAGGTGCATCCATTTTCCTGTAAATGACTCAAGTTTATCCTTCCTTATGGCGGAGTTGTACCCCACGCTGTGTCAATACCACATTTTCTTTATCCGTTCATCTGGCGATGGACGTATGGGCTGCTTCCAAGATTTCACTACATGAGTTGTGTTTCTGTAAACACATGCCTGGGTATGCAGGTATCACTTTTGTTGTTTATTCATCTACTGAGGACATTTGGGTTGTTTCTGGCTTTTGGCAGTGGCAGATCCTCCACAGATACCCAGAAGCTCAAGACCCTTCTGTGAATGGCGAGCTCTCTGTGTAGAACTGCACATGTCCTCTGGCAGATGCTGCCTCACCTCAGCGACTTCTGTACCTAGTGTGATGGAGATGTGTGTGGGGTGGCAGTGTTACGCTCCACTGTCAAAGGGAAAACTGCGAGGAAACGTGTCTGAACGTGTTCAGTGTGGACATCTTTTTGTTCCTAGTACAGTAGTTTCCATACAAGGTGATAGAGCGGGTGTGGAGCCTGCAGTCAGCAGACTCGGGTGCCCTGGCCAGCAGGGTCTCGCGATGTAGCTCCTTCCTTCTCCTCCACAAGGCCTGGAAGTTTTGTCTGCTTTGCCCTCAGCTCTGTCTCTAGTGTCCAGAACTGTACCAGACCCACAGTCGATACTGTGTGACATAGCATATAGGTCCCTGGCCGACGTGTGCCCCCAGCAGGTGAGCGGTTGGGGAAGCCGTCAAAGCTCCCTCTGTGTCTCCAGCTGCTCCCTTGGCTCCTGTCACCACCGGAGCATTGCCTCAGGTCAGCTCCACGTGGCCATAGATTCTCACAGGAGCGTGGACCTGCTGTGAACTGCGCATGCTCAGAAGCATGGACAAACCCCTCCCCTGTGAACTTCACATGCGAGGGATCTAGGGTGCAGCTCCTTAGGAGAATCTAGCCCTGATGATCTGAGGAGGAGCTGAGGCGGTGATGCCAGAGCTAAGGAAGGTAATAATTATGGGTTTCAAATATGTATTAGTAGCCAGGTGTGGTGGCTTACGCCTGTAATCCCAGCACTCGGGAGGCTGAGGCAGGAGAATCTTTGTGAGTTTGAGGCCAGCCTGGGCTACAAAGTAAATTCAAGACCAGACTGAACTGCACAGTGAGACTGTCTCAAAAAGGCCAAAAAGAATTTTAAAAATTAAAAAAAATTATTAGTAAAATTTTAAAAACTAAGAAAATTCCTCTTCACTCTGATCTGTGAAAAAATTTCCCACAAAACCGACTGCTGGTGCCGAAACGGTGGGAGACTGTTGACACAGAGGACAAATATCCGCATTTGCCCTACCAAGTGACCCACCTAGGGGTGGGACCGTCAGCATGCACTTCTGCCTATGGGGGGTGCTAGAGGGAGGGGGCTGTCATGGGTACAGGGGGCTCGGAGTACCTGGCCCCTGGCTGGCGGGAGCGAGTGCTCTGCCACCCTCTCCTCTCCTGTGAATCAGCCACAGAGATTCTCCTTAACTCCGTGCTACTCCCTTTGAATACATGATTTTAGCCACCATTATAGCGAACTGTATCGTCCTCGCCCTGGAGCAGCACCTGCCGGACGACGACAAGACCCCAATGTCGGAGCGACTGGTGAGCGGGGTGTCGTGGAGGGCGGGGGTGGTGGGGACCTGACTTGCAGGGCAGCAGCCACGGGGGAAGAGATGTCCTCATGTCGCTGCTCCCACCCTCCAGCCCAGGAGACCCGGCTTACCCGTGAGGGGGGCGGGGATGAACGGTGCCACTGTCCATGGGCATCGTATTCAAAACGGCATTCGCTGGGAGCTGGGGTGTGGCTCGGAGGTGGTCACTTGCCTAGCCTGTGTGAGGCCACGGGTTACATCCCTAACAAAAACAAAAGCAAGAAAGGAAAGCAAAATTTATATTAAAAATTTGACCATATATGAGAACAGTCATGTATCATCTCCCCTCAACTCCCCCCCCCCGCCCCAGATTTAGCCATCACCAGCATCCTGTCCCAGTCCCTTCCACTGTCTCCTTTGGTCGCCTTTCCCTGTCTTTGGCGGAAGTATTCTAAGGCACAGACGCAGCTACACCCCAGCGTCTGCCTTGCTAAAAATGCAATATTATCTTAGGTTGCCACCAAGACATTATTATGCCCAGCATAATAATGACATTAGCTCCCTAGAGTCATCTGAGACCTCATCAGAAGCCATCTGTCCCTGATCATCTCCAGGATGTCACTTTATAGTTGGTTTGTTCTAACATCCAAACACAGTCTGAGGGGGGGTTTTTGTTTTGTTTTTTGCTTTGTTTTTATGATACTGGAGATCCAACCCAGGAATGCTCTACCCTTGAGCTACATCCCCAGCCGTTTTCACTTTTTATTTTGCCAAGTTGCCCAGGCTGGCCTCAAACTTGAGATCTTCCTTCCTCAGCTCCCAAGGAGCAGGGATAACAGATGTGCACCACCACACCTGGCTCGGATGGCTTTTTCTCTTGCAGGAATCAAACCCACAGGCTTGCACATGATTAGGCAGATGCTCTACCACCAAGCCACACCCCACCCCTTATCCGCTCCCCAGACCCAGCAAAGTCGAGGGAGAAGAGAGGGCCAGACTCCCCTCATTTGTAACTCCCACCATTATTTGGTGGATTTTGTGGTCTCACCACTTTTTAAATTTTGTAATGGCCATCTATTAGGTTGTGTGTATCCTGAAAAATATAACCAGCCTCGTGAACCTGTAATTCCCAGGGGTTTTGTTTTTTGCTTAAGATAAAGCCAAATAAAGCAGAACCTATGGAAAGAATAGTAGCCCACTCGTAGTGCCAGTGGCACAAGGATGCAGAGAAAAGAAGTCGGGAGACAGAAATGCAGATGATTGAAGCGGAAGAGCCCTTGCAGTAACAGATGGGAAAGTCCACCAGGGTGTTGACAGAGCAGGGCTTAGACATTCATCTCAAGCACAAGGCGCCATCAGCGAGGAGCCTGAGCCAGGGGTGTGAGCCTGTACAGCGGGAGTGGAGGTGGGGCCCTGGCCAATTACCAGCCAGCGCAGGAGCATTACTCCAACCCTCTGACAACCTGAACGACGGGTGCATGCCTGCTGAGAACCAGCCGCAGGGCTCCGCCTCGGGAATGACCGGCATGCAGCACCCATCTTCGAAACCTTTGAGCGCTGTGCTTGAATGCTCGAAACAAGCGATTTCTGGCGGAACTCGCGGCAGTCACAGGCGTGTTTCACATCTGCGCTGTTCAATGTCTTAGTCGTTTGCGAGGGATGGGATGACTACAAGACTGCACTGTTTTTATTTTATTACATTCAAGTTCATTTGAATTTATGGCCAGGGGCTGCCATATTGGATACCCCAGCTCTGCTTGTCTGAGTGATAGGTGAGATTGGCCCGGGAGGAGGAAGGTGTCTTCTGGAACTTTTTGCTTCTTTTCACAAAAACTTTTGGACAAGGAAACCCTGGTGGGGTGCTGGGAGTGCTGGGGGTTGGAGAAAAAGGGAGGAGGGTGGCTTCCTGGTTGCGCCGGCCTCTGCCCGCCCGAGGCTCTGACCTCCCCTTCTCTCCCTTCCAGGATGACACAGAGCCGTACTTCATTGGAATTTTTTGCTTCGAAGCTGGGATTAAGATCATTGCTCTTGGGTTTGCCTTCCACAAAGGCTCTTACCTGAGGAACGGTTGGAACGTGATGGATTTTGTGGTGGTGCTAACAGGGTAAGTAGCAGCGCTGCGTCCTGCAGAGCGCTCTTGCCTCGGGAGGACGGGGCACCGGAGGAGGCGCGGTTGGCGTGGTGCAGGTTGGGCTCCGGCAGCGGAGCCCCTGTGCTCCTCTTCCCCGCGGCACCTGCCTCCTTCCCTCTCCCGCCTCCAAATCGCAGCACACGCGTTCAGTTACAGTTACAATAATTATAACTGGCCGTTCCCAAAGCGCTTTATTTGCATGTGCTCATTTAATGTTCACAGCGACCGAATGCGTTAGGGATTGCTCAGATCCCGCCATGACCACCTCTCCGAAACAGAGACTCCATGGTCTCAGATCACCCGGCTAGTCAGTGGCGGAGCCAGAGTTGAACCTGGGGTTGCGTGATTTCAGAGCTGATGTTTCTGACTGTCATCCATGCACGGGCCTCTTGGTTTGCTGGGCGATATCTGGCCTTGATGTCAAGGTGGTGAATGTTTGTTGGAGATTTCCATATGCAAAGGATGGTGGTTTTGACTGTGGAGAAAAAAATAATCTAAATAAGGTCCTCTTTCTGTCTCCAGAGAGTTGTTCAGAGCTGAATACAGTGACCCATAGCTGACAGGCGAGTGTGTATTCTCTCATGCAAGCAGTCTGTCTAGGGTAATACTAGCTGTTGTAACAAAAGATCCCAAACTAGGAAATGACCCAAAGACAACAGTCTGTTCCTCACTCATTGAAAGTCCTAGGAGGCTGTCCTGCATTGGCAAGCTTGTCTCATCTCATGATGGAAGGACCAGGCCTTGGCCATGTCACGGCTGTGCTTTGTAAACCACAGGGTCCAGGAGCTCTGTGCTTATCCACATCGAACCGCAGAGGAGAGTCAGGCATGGAAGGACACTGGGAAATCCTGTGGGGCTGGAAGGCACCTGACCCAGCCTCTTCTGTTCATGGGCCACCGGCCAGAGCTCAGTCCCAAGACCACACGCCCCTGCAAGGGAAGCCAGGTGCCAGGCTGCGCTCGGAAGGAAAGGGAAGTGGGTTTGGCGGGTGGCCAGCCAGTCTCTGCAGGGACCCCAGAGAGCGCTGTCAGACGCTGGCATGGAAGTGACCATCTTGTTCTGAGAGCCGGCTCCTTCCCGGCCTGCCTCCTGCCCCATCTGAGCTAACTCAGCCCTTCTCTTCTAAGACCCCTCTTGCCTGGGCGCCTGCCCTGTCACCCCCCTTACCGGAGCGTAGCTGTCCCCGTGGGGGATGTCACTGGTATTAGCACCCACGCTGGCCTGACTGGGGTCTCACAGTTCAGATCTTGAACACTTCTTTTTTTTTCTTTTGGTTTGTTTGTTTCTTTTTTCATTTTTATTATTTATTTATTTCACTAGCATGTGGGGAACTGGCACGCACACATATCACATCTTGATTCTCTTTGTGTCCCTTCCCCCTTGCTGGCTCCTGCCCCCCAAGTCCCCTTCCCGTCTCCACAAAGTCTGCCTTCTGGTTTCCCAGCATCCGGCTTTGATTGTGGTCTTTAAATTATCTACAGTCTTGGTTTTTTCCTGTTAGAGAAACTCTGCAATATTTCAGCTTCTGTGTCTGATTTCTTTCACCCAACATTATCTTCTCAAGGTGCATCCATTTTCCTACATATGACTCAAGTTCATCCTTCTTTATGGCTGAGTAACACTCCATTGTGTGCAAATACCACATTTCCTGAATGCATTCATCCGTTAGTGGACAAGGACTTTCTCAAGAGAACTCTAGCTGTCTGCCTGTTTCTGAGCAATGCTGGCCCTCAGAGAAGGAGTTGTGCAGACCGCTGTGTCTATAGAGGTCTTCAGATGCGAGTTGTCTGTTGTAAGGTCATTGGCCTCCCCTCGTGGGTGTCAGTGTTCACCGATGGACCTCTGTTGGCCATGCCCAGTCATGCGGCCGGTTTCCAGGACATGTCATGATGTTGATCACATTTATGTTGCTAGGCAACTGGTCCATGAAACAGCCCAAAGGCTGACTTTATTTTTTTTATTTTTTATTTTTTTCCAGTACCTGGAATCGAACTCATAGCCTTGCACTTGCCAGGCGGGCGCTGTGCTGCTGAGCTAAATCCCCAGCCCCAGGCTGACTTTATTTAAAATATATAATAAAAATCAAGCCACACATGGTAACACACACCTGTAATCCCAGCTACTTGGGAGGCTGAGGCAGAAGGATTGTTACTTCAAGGTCAGCCTGGACAACTTTGCAATTTAGCGAGACCTTGTCTCAAAAAAGTTGGGGAAAAATAAATTAAATTAAATTAAATAAAGTAAAAAGGCTGGGGAATGTAGCTGAGTGTAGTGGTCCTGGGTTCAATTTCCAATACCACAAAAAGAAAGAAATATGTATTTTTTTTTTTCTTGGTTAAAGTTTCTCAGTAAATGCTTCTTCTGCAGCCTACATTTTGCATGCCTCCTGAGATTCATCTGATTAATGAGACCAGGTCTCCTGCATCTGTTTTCACTGCTGTATAGTACTCTGCAGGGCGGCTATTCCTCCGTGTGTTTACTCACCTGGCTTGTTTCCAACCTTGTGCTATTTTGAACACAGCTGTCCACTTTCTCGAGAGTGAGTTTTCTCCAGGGCATATTTCCAGGAGTGAAACTGCTGAGTCGTGGGCTCCATAGCCCCAGCCTCACTAGATACTGCCAAATTGCTTCACAAAGTGCTGGTGCCAAGTCCTGCTTCCCGAGGCTGAGCTTGCAGGCGGGGCCTGGCTTGACCTTGGTGGCCGGAAGGAGCCAGAGCAAACCCTGTTTGGTTTTTTAATACCGTGGTTCCTGAGAGACCAAGGAAGCCTGTAGACCACTTAGTACACAGTGAGTCTCAGGAAGTGAGCTTCAAGCAGAAGGGCACCTGTGACAGAGGCCACCCCGTCACTCGAGTGCGCGTGTCTACTCCGATTCCTGCCGGGTGGTCTTTTTTGCATTTCTTGACGTCCAGTGTCAAGCGGAGAAACGCTTCATCCAGGAGAGGAGCCTGAGGCTGGACTCATAAAGCCTGAGGGAAAAGTATGCAAGAATTGTGGCTGTGTATATTTTCTGGTCTATAGTTTTTATTATGTTTGCAGAAGATTCTGACCCTAAAACCATGTCTGTTTTCTTTCTGTCTTTTTGGAGCAACTGGAGATTGAACCCAGAGCCTTCACACTGAGCTACATCCTAAACCCTTTTTTTATTATTTATTTTGGGACAGAGTTTTGTTGACTTGCCCAGGCTGGGCTCAAACTTACGATCGTCTTGCCTCAGCCTCCCAGAGTGCTGGGATTCCTATTATAATAAATTATTTTTCTGTCTTATCTCCTTTCCTATCTTTATGTGTCCTGCCCTCCCTTTTCTTCTCTTTTGTACTCCAATTTGTCTGGTAAGGGACTGTTCTTCCTTACTGTCTGGTGACTCTGTATCCTTAAATCAGGCATCCAGCTCAAATTTCAGTGCTGCAAATCCCAATGTGCTCCCTTGTCACCTTCTGTAAGAAATAAGAGAGAGCTGGGCATGACAGTGCATGCTTGTAATCCCGGCCTTCCGCAAGGCTGAGGCAGGAGGATCACAAGTTTGAGCCCAGCTTGAGCTATAAGGCAGGACTAGGATGGGGAACTGAAAGTCCAGTGAACCTAAATTTCTGCTCAAAGTGATGGAGAAATACAGTGAACACTAGTTCTGTGTTCCGGGGGAGGGGAGGGCGTGAGGGCATTTCATTGGACATGAGGCAAGGGCTGACTTTAATGAGGACTTTCGATTAACTCATTGTCCCTTCACATCCCTAAGCAGACCACAGCATCACAGCATCATTCATTTCTCGTGGGGTGCCGGTGGTTTTTGCTTTCTTCTCGTGCAGAGTTCGGTGGGAAAGATCTTACCTCTGGATTTTTCTTGTTTGCTCTGCGTGGCTCAGAGCCTCAGCAGAAGTCTACCTCTTGAGATTTTATTAAACCCATTTAAAGTGCATTTCCATTGAATTTGAAGTCTGGTGGTTAAACTAAAATGCGTAAGAGGCTGGGCCTGGTGGTGCACACCTGTCATCCCAGTGCTTGGGAGGCTGAGGCGGGAGGACCAGTGGGAGTTTGAGGCCATCCTGGGCTACATAGTGAGTTCAAAGCCAACCTGCACTACATAGCAAGACCCTGTCTCAGAAAGAAACCAAAAACAAATAAATTAATAAATGGAAGAGGAAGATTTCAGAAGCTTGGCTTTGTTTCTGAGATGATGGAGACCCTTACTGTAATACTCACATATACATAGGTAGATATGGATGCTTGGATAGATGGATGCATGAATGGATGGGTGGATGGACAGATGGATAGGACAGGGTAGAGATGGATATGTGCATAGTAGAAAGAGTTGGATAAATAGGGATGGATCGATAGATAATAGATTATAGATACATGGATATGATAGACGAAAGATAGATGATCGATAAGATAGAGAGATGTGTACGCAGGTGATATCTAAAGATATGAGATGGATACACAAGTGATTGATATATTTTATATATATAATATATTAGTAAATATTTTA